ACCAAGCACTCGGAGTTCAGCGCGAGTGGTATGCGAATAGGCCGCTACAAAGGCCTCTTGGCTGGGCAACACGCAGCTTTTATCGGGTTCCCTCATTGGATTCGGCAAGCTTTCAAAACGACATTTGGGACGCGATGGTTTCCCCTTTAACCATCATTGTGGAGGACATGTTCGAAGATGTCACTTTGGACCCAGTTGCGGGCGTCCCCTAATTAGGTAGCGGTGTAGCAGGCCAACCCTCCATTTTGAAGAGGCTAACGTTTCCACATCGCTTCTCTTGTTTCGAGTCGCCTTGACTTGGGCGAGGCGTAAGGGTGAACCACAGGGAGCGCTGACCACCCGGTGGCGTAGGATTCACCTACGTTAGGTCACTCCAAATTTGTCTCAAAGGATTGATTTCCAATGTCTTTCAACTTACCAACCAGCACTATTTTGAACACCAGCCCCTTAAAGAGACCTGGAGAGATCGGGAAGTTGCTTGCAGAAACGTCAATTTGCGAAATGCCTAAGAATGCTTCCGTGTCGTGCGATCCGCCTTTCAATTCACAGTCCAATTTGTTTCAACATTTGTCCCATTGCACCATTTGTGTATACGGCTTCTCCGATTTGCACCTATCTCTTTTTATCGCTCTTCTCTTTGCAAATGCGGCCTTTCTTTTTCCCTGCGAAGTTGAGCAGATGTTGTTAGGCCAGAGAATCAAGCATCGACTGCGGATGGAAGGAGTTTGGGGTACCTAGAGTCTTTCAGACCCTGACAGCATAGGACCATGGCCCCTACTTTTTGGCACGCAACCCCATGTTAGTTAGGGGCATGGAGATTTCAGATAGAAACTCGCAGAACAACAAAGCAAGACCAAAGCTTCTGTCATATCATTCATTTGTCCAATCCATCTTGCTCAAAAAAACCCGTTACGTTTCTTCGCGTTGGTTGCCTTTCAAACTCAGAAGATCCTCGCGTGGAAATCCTCTTGTGAGGCGGCGCCAAGTTCAGCGGGACCTCCGGTACCAAGACGGAGGTGGGATCGGTGCCGGGATTTGGGCGTGTCTTTTTTCGGGCTCCTTCTAAAAGACCAGCAAACAAGGGGCACCCTCAAGAGACACACCCATTTCCACGGCCTGAACTCATTTGCCAGGATTTGAAGCGTCCCCTGCGCTGGGCTTACAAGTAGCGGCTTTACAAAGCCCATTCCACGCAGTTGAGTATTGTTCTCAGTTGTTCAGTAGCACCCTTTTTCCCCTTTTTTTGGTGGTTGCCCACACTAAAAACGTCAAAAAGGGTTCCTTTTGTTTCCAGGGTCACTGAACAACTGAGTGTTGGATACGTGGCAAGTGGCCATAGTTGTGCTAGGTTTGGGTAGAGGGTCACATTCTGTGATACCAAGGCATTCTATTTGAAGCGATGAATCAGTTTCGGCGATAAGAGGCCTTCCACTACCATGCCAGGGTGTTCAAGCTACTCAGTAATGGTGTCGCATCAAGAGCCATGCATAAATCCTAGTATAGCCCACCCTGTTTTGAGTGGGTTATGTTATGTTGCAAACCAGCTACTAAAAGGATTCACTTGCACAGGATTTGATCAAACTTGCTCATTTAAAGGGAAACGACCTACAACAGGCTTGGCTTTGGGAAGCCTTTGCCTTGCACCCCCTGGGTTCAATCAAACCTCATGCCGGTCCGCATGAAGCAGAGGGCGGGAAGTTTCGGGAACCACAACAGTCTTGTTGGGCTAGAAATCTGACCCGAACTACCAACCGCAAGTTTTCATGTGAGGGTTAATCAAAAGGTCCTTTTTACATGGGATGACCACTGGAGTGTACCACTACAAAGCTGATCTGTTCCCACTAAATGTTGAAAGTTACAAAATGGTCATTTGGGGGCCAGGACAAGTGATCAACCCCCGTGTAGCCTCGGATACCTGCCAGGATCTGAGTAACTACACGGTGAAGCAGCGCTACAGCCACCTCAGCTCAGAGACCCGCTCCACATTGGCCGCCATGGACCCTGCCGTGACCAACTACGCCACTCGCCGATTGACTTGGCCTTATATGCAGTATTTTCATGAGGGGTTCTCCCTACTTTCATGGGGTTTTGAGTAAGGCACATATATATATATATGTATATTATACATAAAAACCTTTATAACACGACGTGTTGATAGAACCAAACCTCAAGTGGGCGCTCATATTGGCTGCGGCTCGAACAAGTCAACAACGGCTTCTCAAGAATCTACTGGTTGAATACACGCCGTTTCACAACCTGCCGTTTTCCATGGGTTGCCGGAGGTTTTCTAGCAAGAAGGGAAATAGGGAAATTCCCCTAGAAAGCACTTTTGGGCGTAAGTTTCCCAAACCAACAATGAGGGGGTCACATCGAGTTGACTTTGGTGGATGGATTTGCTTTGGTTTGAGGGCACCCATTGTAACAAAAACACGGGCGATTTGAAAGGGAAACACGGATGAAATTAAGCCAATTTTGCCACCAGATCTTACATTTGGCTCTTGGATATGGACTAGAATCATTGGCGAAGCTGAGATACATTCGGCGACCGTGATCCTAGTACAATTCCTGGTTGCCTACAGTAACGGATCCATTCCGTCCCCACGGTCTTCAACCTGCTAAGTTGGTTGTAATTAACCAGAACAGGGGTTGGTTGAACCAGTTGTGACTTGTAATCTACTTGCACAGTGGGCCGGGCCAAACACCCAGGATCCTTGGTTTCTGACACCGCGAGATGCTTCGCAAAGGGCCCTTTGGCACAGTCGCAACCAGCCCGGTCGGCACAAACAAACGGAAACCCATCACGGGGTTGATGCCATGCTTTAGTGGGAACTGCTTGTATATCTTCTTGCTGGTTGGAAACACTCAAACTTAGGGAAACCCATGTTGAGGCCATGGGTACGAACTTTATTTTGGGACCCCAAAGGGTGGACGCTATGTCACTATGTACACGGATATTTCTGTCCGCCAACAGTTTGGAGGCTATTCGATTTGACGGCCAGGTTGGATTCCCCTTTGAGTTGCCCCTTGGCAAGTAGCGACCATGGGCCGTAGCATCTTCCCATGGCTTCGAATCAGCGGATTTCTTGCGAGGACTTGGCGGCTTTGCTGGTGAAGCACTTTCTCACGCAGAAGCCGCCCTTGGGCCCCGATGGCACGCCTCTGGCGGGCGTGCTGGTCTTCCTCTCCGGAGCGGCTTGTCAGAACACCAATTTACTTGGTGACGGTGGACGACCTATGTGGAGATTTTAGACAACCATTGGTCCGCATAAGGAGTGTTGACCATGGCCTATATGTCGTCTTAACTCTTGTTTCTCTTAACTCTTGTTTGGGCACTATTGGGAACAATTAGACGTCCTTAGTGGGCTGATGTTTGACGAGGCATACAAGGACCCTGCAAAAACGCCGAGCTCCCTCCCTATCCGTTTCGCCTAAGTTGGTACAAGGCTTGCTCTTTTTCCAACTGGAAAGGACTTTTCCAGCGCTGGTACTGGTCCAACTCATGTTTCCTAATGAATTGTCATTGCTTTTGGAAGGACCCCGTGAAACACACCATGTTTTGAGGGTACCCTGTCCGCCCTAGTCTGAAAGGGAAACCAACACGAACCAATATATTGAGTCCCTCATGTCGATGACGCATGATCCCATCAAGTTCTGTTGATTTTGGTTAGGTCAAGGTTTTTCTGGGCAACACAACATCAGCTTGAACAGCGTCCTGGCCTCCCTGGTGAATCACTGACCCTTACGTCTAGGATTTTTAAGCCCCACCAACTCCTTTGTTCAAGACATACATTTCACCCTTCTGATTTTCTGTTTGTGGTCCGCTTTTAGTAAAGGTCCCAAAAGGCTAACCTGTTGTTTTTGTTGTCCTTTGTGCAAGTGAGCAAAAGCACAGAGTTTGGTGTTTTTCCCGGGTGAGTTTGTCAAGGGTATGCCAGGCCAAAGAGATCCAAAAGATGCGTGCGGTGCTTCTAGAGCTTTGCCCGTCTTTGAAGAAGGCGAGCCATGGACGGTCGAGTTGGCGGGGGGGGTTGAACCAATTTGTTTCTGGCGTCTCATTTAAGGTTGGCTACGTATGAAACAGCCTCTGAACATATTTGACTCAAAAGGTTAGCTTTTTGTCAAGAACACAGTTCGTGACGCTGACCCGGCCGTGTTAAGGCCAAATGCATGAGTCGCTCAGAGAACTATGTAGCCGTCCCAGCCCTCCTGTCAGCTTCCAACTCCCCAGCAAGTGATCATGGATTGCCCCAAAACAGAAAAGTAATTCCTCTACAAATAATTTTCCCTTAGACTTTGGATGTTTAAACGAGAATTTAGTGACACATCCGGTCACTAAAAGATTGAGCATGGGATCAACGCCGCACTAAGTGTAGTGAACAAAATCCCCCCCCCCCCCCCGGAAGGCTTCCTCCGAGTGGTACGGGTTGATGTAGTTAGCACAAGGCTTGGACGGTCCCTTTGGTTTCCTTTAAACAAATCATAATGGGTCCCTTCAAAAAATAATGGAGCTACCTCCACCCTTTTCAACAAACAGTTCAGTGGCGGGTGATCTACGCAATAATCATTTGGTGGGCTCCAAGGTAGACCTTTACGGTTCTTACACCTGTGCATTTGGTCGGTGTCATTTCAGAATGGACTCTGTACCACTTAATGACAGCTTCTCTTATAATTCCAAGATAATTTGGATCCCCCCCCCTCGCAGCTTTTGTTGGCAATTGTGATGGTTGCCACAAGCCAACAACAGTTTAAGCATTTTCACTTGAGCAAAACGCATCCCTGTGTATGCTGGTTTTGATCGGCTCGATCAGATCTTTCTTGGAAGATTCAAGGTGAAACCGGTGATGTATCAGGATGTTTCCTGCGACCGGCTGCGGCTACACACGCGCCCCAGGCCCTAAAGACTACTTAGCTCACAACCCTTGGCCCAAGTAGGTGGCCAAGGCCTCTTTGAGGGCGGTTTCATGCGACCCTTGTGACTCCTTGCGGCTCAAGAGCAAACACAGAGAGATGAGCCACGTGCCCGGGCAGGATCCCAGATCCGGAAACCTCCCTTAGGTCCCTAAGTGCCCAATCCCAGCCTGAAAATGGGCGCCATGGTCGCAGTGCTGGCCACGGCTTTCGCGGTGCTTCTTTGTACGCCGGTGATGCTGTACTTTGCGCCGCGCTGGGTGAAGCGGCCGCTGGTGCTGTGGGTGCTGAGGCGCGTGGTTTTGGCGTGTGTCTGTGTCTGTGTCTGTTTCTGTGTCTGTGTCCGTGTCTGTGTCTGTGTCTGTGTCTGTGTCTGTGTCTGTGTGTGTTTGTGTTTGTGTTTGTGTTTGTGTTTGTGATTGTGTTTAAATTTGTGTTTGTGTTTGTGTTTGTGCTTGTGTTGTTTTTTTTGTGTGTGTGTGTGTGCGCGGGTGTGTGTGCGCGGGTGTGTGTGTGTGTGTGTGCGCACGTTTGCATAGAAACGGTGAGGTAACCCTTAATTGGTGGTTGGATTGGGTGGGTTGGAGGTTTGACCCCCCTGTGATTTGTAGCGGGCAAGTAGTAATGCCTCCCCTTGCCTCCACACCACGAAGCTGAAAAGGAGCAGAATGGGGCAATCTATGTTAACCAGTGGTAAAAATCAGGATGGGGCTTTCGTGTTGCCTGCGCAATTGGGTGCAGAGTAAATGTCCAGAAGTATGCCATAATACGAGTGTGTTTTTGTTTGAAGGTCCCTCTTTGTCGTGGTCTTAAAGGAACACCAACAGGAAAAGCATCTCCTTTTTTCATTGGGGGGGGCCCTAAAGCAAGACCCACGCATATGGAGTGTTTGAGTAGTGGCTGTATTTCCTTTGATTCTTCAGGGCTCAAAAGTCCTCACAGAGGGGGTCCCTTTTTGCTTTGCCCGTGAGTTCCCTGTTCTGCTTCCGAGGGTCCCCCGTATTTTTATCATGGTTTTTCGTGGCCAACTGAAGGTGAGTTTCCTTTCCGGTCATGTTAAAAAATATGCGCGCGTCTTAAGATAGGGGCCCCCGAAATTGTGGTTTCCCTTTGGTTTCCTTTTAAAGCAACCCCAAGAAGGCTAGCCCCAAACTTACCTTACTTAGACTTGAATATTCCACCTAAGAAATTTGTTTGACTAAGCTAGACTCCAACCACACAGGCAGCAAAACTCAAACCAACGGCATGCGGGGCCCCTAACCAATAGCAGCCTTAACTGTTACCCAAATCGAGCATGCCCTCGTGAGCACACAACATGTGTAGCCCCGAGGGTGCAACTACATGGGCGGATAGCAGCTGACAGGTTAGGCGATTGCCCGGCTCGGAGTTCTGTCCTCGTGCAGTGTTTTCTTCTTCATTGCTTTCTCAAGTTTGGCTTGTTCCTGGGCCGGCGAGCTTCAGGGGAAGTAGTGTTGTGGTTCCAAGAACGACCGTAAAGGCTTGGATTTTTGGGCTCGGCCGATAATCCTGGAACTCTCTGCTTCAATAGCCAACGAGCTCAAAACAAGATGGCCTGAGAAAGGCAAGCCCGGCATATCGTGACTGAAGTGAATTGGTCCTCTATAAAGCCGATTAGAATGAGGGGCTGACTTTAAGTTCCCCAGCACCCAAAGTCTCACTACCTGCATCTCTTGAAAGTTAATAATTCCCACTCCAAAAAGAAAAAAGTACTTTCTTCCATGCTGGAGTGATAATTTTCACTCCGTGTTAAAATGCCCGTTCGGGTAGTTCCGACTGCTCAGGCATCCGTTCGGACCCGTTCAGAACCCGTTCGAAACCCGTTCGAAACCCGTTCGAAACCCGTTCGAACCCGTTCGAACCCGTTCGAACCCGTTCGTACCCGTTCGGACCCGTTCGGACCCGTTCGGAGGTACGTAAAAAATACGCCAACATTACGTAATAAGCCTTTGATAATTTATGTGCAGTGCTGATTTATGAACACTTCGATGGTAGTGAAAATATCCGTTCAAGAGTAGAAATACCCGTTCGAAAGTGGAAATACCCGTGTCCTCAGGCCAAAAAGTACTTTTTCAATTTTGGAGTAGGAATTCTTAACTTCCAGGAGATCCAGGTAGGTGGGGCCTTAAAGTGATGTTGGCCCCGCATAGATCGACCTGGTGCACAGGGCTTTTGTTTCCCCGGAAGTGATCCCTAAATGCCTTGAGCTTTTCTCTTTGTCTGCCACAGGCTGTCGCTACAAATCGTGTGTGTGTGTGTGTGTTGGCCGGCAGTAGGCAGACGGCGGGCGATGTCATGGGAGAAGACAGACCCACAGGCAGCCCTTCTCCTCTTCCTCGGCTTGGGGTTTGGTTTTGACTCAATACGTTCTCTGAGGTCCTTCAGCCAGGGCGCGCCACCGGAGGAGCCAGAGCGCAGCGACTACGCAAAAGGCGTGCTTCCCCACGGGCAGCTTGAGGAGCCCTTTTGGATTTATATATGTGTGTGTATATTTCTGTTCAGGGCCCGTTTTGTTGGGTTAGAGGAAGCCAACAAGCAAACGAGCTGTTATTTTGAGGGTCACCCTATTTTGCAGGTAGAACTAGCATCAGTAGTGAGCCACAGGGGGTTTTAGGAACAATTCTGGGAAACCACGAGGGAATATTCGGTTCGGCCTGCCTGAGAAGAAGGTATTGATTTTGAAATCTAGCCTCCAAGAAAGACTACGTACAAATTACAAAGGGCCTGATTGGAAAAGGGAGTGTGGGGCAGTAGTAAGCCAAATGTATTCTTTTGTGGGGCAGAGTGCAATATAATTTGGTATCCCGGTATCCCGTTATGCTTCCTTTTCGGACCAATGAATCAGCGCAAGTGTGAGATTCCTCTTTGAATCCAAACAAGGTGGAAGAAGGCGGTTTCCCGAGAAATGTTCCCGGACCATCTTGCAGGTTCCATGTTTGTTGGAAAGTCCCAAGGGTGACACAACCATCACGTGAGGAGTTGGTGGAGGGCAAGGCCTGGGCTTTGTGCGGGTCGCTGCCGCAGCCGGGGCCCTCCTTCGGGCGAAACATGACGGTGTTCAAGCGAAAAGACGGAAAGCTCATCGTGCACTCCTGCGTGTGTCTGGCGTCGGAGACCAAGGCAAGGAGGAACAAGCCTACTTTCCTTTTGGGCAGTCAGATTCATCGAGCGTCTCTCCCTTGTTTGTGACCGGGCGTCCCATTTCAGAGGGAATCTGGATGACTTTTCGCCTACGAATCGAGCAGGCTGATTAATTATTTGAGGCTCCCATTACTAGCTCAGTCCACCCAAAGCTAGCCCTTGTTGCCCCATTCGTAGCCATGGATATAACGTATTGAGCTAGAAAGATCGAGAAAGGCTTGATCCGAATCTCCAAATTGTCATACCAAGGTTCATTGCCCCTGCCTGGATGGGGGGCCGTGGGTTTCTTGATCTTCCAGCACCCTGAAAAGTAGACCTCGAGATCCGGATTTGCTAGGTCCATGGCCTTTTTGTGTTTTTTTCCAGCTCCATGGCCCATGTGATTTTTAGGCGCGGCTGGACGCCCGAGGGCCAGTGGGTGTCATCGTGGTGCCCAACTCCTTCCACCGCCTCGACGCGCCGAGGTACAAGGCCCGAAGAATGTTGGCTTTAGCTTGTGCGCCGGTTTTGGAGGGTCCCTTTTGTGGCTAACTTGAAGGCCGTTTTGAGGGGGGGGGGCGGGTGGATTGGGTTGCCTGAAATGAAGACAATCCCCGAAGCTGCGATACCCACAATGGATGGACAAAATCCTGCACCGGACACACCTGTCGACCACAGGATTGTTCATCCACAGTGCGGAGGGGGTCATATATGCATCCGCTCCGCGGGAGGAGTGGCTAGTAAACTTGGTTATATAGTGCAGTCATTCGTTAAAGTAGGAATATAATGAAAAAGCCGTATAGTAGTCAGCGAAGTCAACTACTTTGGCATTGCAGGCATTTGGGATATACTCAGTGTTGCTGCAAGTTTCCTGTTTGGAGAGGGTTTCATTGTAAAATCAACAACCAACTATTTCCCTCCAAAATAAACCACCAGAGAAAGAGCGCCGTGTTGCCCATAATATGTCTAAGGGGGGTCTGGGGTATCACAGAAATGGCTCCTTCGACCGCGAGGCCGCCTACCCAGAGGCACGTGTGGTGTGCCCGTCTTCGGCCCGCGCCAAAGTGGAGGAGTGGTGCCCCGTAGACGCAACGCGCCACGGGCCAAAAGCGAGAATAATACTTTATTTTCACTTTTTCCTTTAAAGGGAATCGATCACTGTTGTCAACATGTGTTTGGTGTTTGTGTTTCCCCTTTTGCCTTTAAAGGGAATCGATCACTGTTGTCAACATGTGTTTTTGTGTTTGTGTGTTGCCTTCTTTTTTTTGCCAGTGAACTTAAACAGCTGGAGTCCTAACTAGAGGAGCCCTTTTACTTGGCTCCAAGAAAAGCATCTGGAATTTATCCAGGAAGTTAGCCATCCCACCAATACCAGGGTTTTGGCTAGCTTCCTGTAGAATGTTCTGGTGCTGGTTTTTGGATCGGTTCCCGCCCTCAGGTTTTTCGACGGGATTTATGATTTTGTGACATATCGCACGAACAGTTCAACTTTTAGCAGGGGTCCGATGGAATTTACATGACACCCAAGAAGGGAGTCCTTTTCTCAACAGCAGGGCTCCTCGCACAACGCACAACGGATATGTTTGTTGGTTCCCTGTTATTCTCTGGCGTTCCTTTTGACTTTTTGCATCCGATCCGTCCTTCCAGTGCAGGAGGTCAGCTCTTGCATCTTGGTGTGGTGAGTTCCCTTCACAGTATGGAAACATCGGGAACCCTGAAGTGCAGGCGGGGTTCATGTCAATTTTTGGGAGCCCAAAAACAAGTTGGTTTTCCTGATCTTTTGGTTTCTCTTGGCTGCAAACACTGCAACAATGTATATAACCTTGTAAAATAGACGACATGCCCAGGTGCGAAGAGGAGTTCGCGCAGTGTGAGGAAGTGGAGGTTTTGACCCCGCCGAACTCGGTTGACGGCGAGCTCACGTACATCATGGGCGGCTCTTTGGTGGTTTGTTGCTCAGACCTCTGGGAAGTATTCTCCCTTGTCATTTGATGTTTTGTTTGTTTCTTCCTTCTTTTTAGGGGTGAGGGGTTCAACTGTCAAACGGTGTTTTTGTTCCACCGTTTTCGTTCACCTGTGGTCCCTTTCGCATCTGCCAAGCCAAGGGTGCCCTTTCACGGCTCAGAGCCTTGTGACCAATTGGTCAAAAGGGAAGCGCAAGTGAGCGGCGCCCAACCCCCCTGGCAATTTTTAGTAGTTTGGTGGGTGGTTCTACCCGGTTTCAAGATAAGAAAACCAATTATAAACCATTATGACCCTCTTAGTTGAACAAACAGTCAATGGGTTTTGGGCCCCCAACAACAGGCTGCGACCTCTTCTTCAACATCGACCCTTGCAAGGCAGATGCCTTCCAACGCTTTTTCGGCATCGCCAACGGCTTTGGCGTATCCGGCATGGGCAAGGTGTCGAAGAAAGTGGAATCGACCGATTTGTGTCCCTTTTTGCTTAGTGGGGGGGGGCGGGGCCCAACTAAATAATGATCCAACTACAAGGAACTGGTCCCATTCCTTTCTCAGTCGTTCGGCGGCAAGTTTCATTTGTGTTTCTTCTGTTTGTTCGAAACACTTTTGTTAAGGATTAGGTTTTTTTTGGTTCTAGTGAATCACTGGTTGCACGGTTGCACTGCTGGTAGGTGGTCCACCCGGACCTCCCGCTTTTGCGCCGCTGGGTGCAGACCGCCCTCCTGGACCGTGCGGCGAACTTCGAAGCCGTGGTGGTGGGTCACGGAGACCTCGTCAAGGGCTCTTCCGCCGTGAGGGCGGCGCTCCAAAAGACCGTGGACAGCCTCGTCTGACTTTCTCACCCTTCAGCTGTCAGACGGAACGATTCCCCTGAAAAGGAACGAGGTTCCCTAAGCACTTCCTGGAGAAGAGGGTGTCTGAGGGCCAGCGACACTTGTGGACCTAAGGGAATCTGGACTCCTCATGGCCACAACGTTTCCAAAAGTGTCCAGGCCCGAGAGATGCTAAGCTTCATTTTTTATTTAAGAAACATGAGAGGCACCCAAAGCCCCTGCGTTGATAATCCTTTATAACCATGCTCGAAGTTGCTTGCACCTCCAGATCCGAGTTGGCTTCCTCTCAGGGTTCAGGTCAGCTCAGGAAAGGCCGAGAGGAACGGAATTTCCTGAGATGCTGTCAACCCGGGACGAGTCACCGTGGGTGATGATTGAGGCGCTAAAGTGCAGGCTAGCCTCATCTAAAATAGGAAAACTCTAGCAAGAGGTCATGAAATCCGTTCAACATTAGCACCGTGACCTGGGCAAGTACGATGCTTCTGCAAGCCGCGCGTGTACATAATCGAATCGGGCTATGTCGTTTTCACCGGGTGCAATCTCTGTGGATTCAGGTTCCAACCCTGTGCATGAGTGTACCTTGTACATGCTCCGCCGCTACAGACTTCAATAGCACTACCAGCAGTGTGAAAAGTAGTCAACGGTTTGCTGCTTGCCTAGGTATTACCTTAGGTGGCCTAGGCTTGATAACACAGGTTATCAGCCGTAAAGGCTTGTACAAAGATCGCCATGGCATCCGGAGAATTGCCCATTATATACAATATATCTGGAGAAGTTGGTGACGGTGGTGATGGTGCAGTTGCACCTACAGGTCCTGTTGACCCTCGCGATCCTCGAAACGTATTCGGGTTCGCGACAAACTACCAAGCCACCCAGAACATCATGCATGTGCATAACGACACGGGTGACGCTGTTAGGGAAGAGGCCAACACGTTACATCGCGTTGCTATGGATGCTACAAGGGCGGAATATAGCGCTCATTTGGCGGAAACTGTGCATCGCCTGGACGAGGAGAACAACCGTCGGACCCTTGAGCTGCACGAGCAGTTCGCAGAGGCTCGCGCTTTCTTCAACGCCCAGGTTGGCCAGATGCGGGGAGCAATTTCTGCCGAAGTGAACGAAGCTGTGTCGCAAAGAACGGCACAGTATAGCGCTTTCGCACAAAGCTTACATGCTGAGACTGTTGTGATGGAGAACTCGGAGAAGGCGGTCGGTGAGCAGAGAGACAGTATTTTGGCGGAGAATCACGCCATGCAGGACACGATCAACGGGCTGAACGACACCGTTGAGCGTCTGAGGAACGATCTCGAAAAGGCGCAGCGTGAAATGGTGCGCGGAGATCCTCAGCCTGCGTCAAGTGTACAGAACGTCAGTTCGGAGTCGTTTTTGGATAAGAGGGGCAGTATCTTCGATGATCCGCGTCTTTTTCCAATGCAGAATGCACAAACTTCTGGAACTATGCCACAGATTATTCCACAGCAGAGTTGGACTGATCCTATTTCTGGTGCAATGCGGTTTGATATCAAAGATCATGCGAGACGGTCTTCGGAGCAAGAGAACAGCCGAAGTCAGCAAAATCAGTCGACAAATCAGCCGAACATTGATCGGTTGACTGGTCCCGAGACCACCGAGGCGGAGTTCCGTGCGGCCCTCCTCGGCTTCGTCCGGAATCAGCATGATCGGCCAAAAGCAAAGGAAGCTGATTCGTTGAGGCTGAGTGAGTTTCCCACTCCTGAGACCTATAGAGCCTGGAAAACGGCTACTCGCGAAGAGATTCGGGCTGCTTCAGATCGGCCTGATGCTGCATTCACCTGGGTTAACAAGGTGTACGTCAACCGGGAGGACAAGAAGAATCTCATGTTAGAGCTTGGAGATCCAGAGCAGTTTGAAACGTTGGATACAAAGCTTCTTGCGGCCTTGTCGCGGATTGCTAGGGGCGACCTTAGTCGGCAGATCCTCACCTACAAGGAGCAACAAGCTGCTTTGGACAAAGTCGTCCGTGGACGTCAAGTTCTTCTCATGTTTGAGCAGTATTTCAGAACGAATGAGGAGGCCGGAGCGTTGTATTCCACTGAAGATTTGTTGAAGGTGGTACTTCATGGCAATGATTTGATGACCTTTATTCAGAATTGGGATTCCGTCATTGCTGGCATGAAGATCGTTCCGGAGCAGCACGTCTTGAAGGACATTTTCTTGCGACAGATTCGTGGATGTCACAAGATCAAGTATGACCTCGATACATACGAGCGTGCAAAAGATGGGTCGTATGACAAGAGCTACGAGTTTCTTGTTCAAGCCGTTCGTGATGTTTTGACTCGGGAGCGATTGCAGTCAAATCGTGATCGTGTTGCTCGAGCTCACAATCAGAAGGTCGGTGCTCCAGCTCCCAATGCAAATCCTGGGCGTGCAAGAGATCCTTCAGCGGTCAAGTATTGCTATGATTTTCAGAAAGGCAAGTGCACTCGGGATAATTGCATTTACAAGCATGAGAAAGACCCAAGACCCCCGAGCCCCAAAAGGAAAAGGTCGGGGGCGCTCTGACAGCAAGGGGAGAGACAGGGATCGGTCGGCATCGAGAAAGAGAGCGGAGCTGAAAAAGATCCCGTGCAGGTTTTTCAAAGGCGGTCAGGGGAAATGCACTCGTGGAGACAACTGTGCGTTTTCGCATGAGACTCGGTCTGCTGCACCAGCAACAGATAAGCCGAGCCCAAAGAAAGGAGCCAGCAGAGGTAGGTCTCCCACCCCAAAGGGAAAAGGGAGGAAGCGATCCCAGAGCAAAAAGGGCGAGTCCTCAGCCGCTGTGTGTCTGAGGGTGAAAGAGACCAATGCATGCCTCGCAGCATGCCGCCCAAAGCAAGATTTCTGGGAAGTTGACTCGGTGAACGAGATGATCATTCGACACCATGTGATGCCTCGAAAAGCGCTTTATGATCCGAAGAGTGCAAAAGACCTTCCGATTTCGCTGGAACGTTTATTGGATCAGCGCATCACCAAAGCCAACATCAATGGCAAAGAGCAAGTGTTTGGTGATTTCTGGGCGGATCCTGATGAAGGTTTGGAGCAATACTGGACTGGGCAAACAATTTTCATTTGCAGTACAGATGTTTCCAATACCCGCAGATGCGTGAAATTCGCAGACAATGTCGAGATCGTCGAGATCGAGGCCAATGGGCTATGCCTATCATGTGCTCCAAAGCCGAATGACCCTGAGGTTGTGTGGTATGATGGTTGTGCGCCTGGCTCAAATCCCAAGGATCTGAGCGATGCTAAAGACAAAGCTTTGATTCTGGAAGGGGTTGTTGACTTGATGCATGCAAACTACAACGCGCCTTGTGGGTTCTATTGCGAATACTATGATGACAATGACCCAATTTATTGCGGTTTATATTGTCCTGGCTGTTGGATTGATGATGATGAAATGAACCTTGACGATGTGCCGGAGTACATTGCTACGCCAGCACCAGCAGGGCTTCGTCAGTGGATTGTCGACACAGGTAGTGAACAAGATCTGGTCGACTCTGAGCGTGCAGTTACACTTCAAAAGAAGATAAATCCTGCATTGACTCCAATCAATCTTTCAACAGCAAATGGATCAATTTGTGCAGACAAGATTGCGGACTTCTCCATTGATCAGTTGAACGAGGTCGTCACTCCGTATGTTTTGCCGAGCACACCAGCTGTACTTTCTGTTGGTCAAAGATGTTTGGAAAAGGGGTACGATTTCGTATGGAGAAAGAACAGTGCTCCGTACTTTGTTCGACCTGACGGGAAAGCGGTAATATTGAAGCTCGATGGGCGAGTTCCTTATGTTGACGATCAGTGCGAGGTCATAGCTTCTGAATCAGCTATGCCTGTTGCTCTTGCTGCATCCGATCAGAAGATCGGGGGCGTTGAAGTGCCTTCATCTTCAAGCGGAGGGCAACCTCCGCCGGATGCTGCATCGTTTCCATTGCGCCCTGATGAAGCTGAACCGCTGGAACCGGAGTTTGATCCGGAATTGGAGGACAACCCTGAGGTTGAAAAAGCTCCAAAACCGATGTCAAAGCGTTCAAAAGAAATGATGATGCGTGAGGCCAAAAGTGAAGAGCATCTTTTCACTCACAGGCCCAAGAACCCCTTTTGCGAAACGTGTGTGCGATCAAAGATGCAAGCACCTCAGGCTCGTCGCAGACATGGATCTTCTTCGGTGGATGCAAAAGCATTTGGAGATCATGTGACTGCTGACCACGTCATTTCAAATGATGAGACGTACGGGTTCAAGGGCGAGTGGAATGCTTTGGTCGTGAAAGATGTGTTCACGCAGTTCCGGTATTTTTACCCTTCAGCAAGGCAAGATGCTGACAGTTGCGTTCGTGCATTTCAACATTTCACGAAGCCAGATGATCATGTTGGGATTTTCTATTCTGACAATTCTGGCGAGATTGCAGCTGCAGTAAAGAGTATGGGTTGGAGACACGTGCTGAGCCAGCCATATGTCAGTCAATCTTCCGGGGTGATCGAGCGCGAGATTCGTACAATTCTGGAGGGAGCAAGAGCAAATCTGTTTCAAAGTGGTTTGCCGGTTGAGCTTTGGCCTTTGGCAGCTCAACATCATGCATTTGCTCTCAATGTTACAATTCCAGATGACAAGGATAAGTCGCCGTGGGCTTTGCGTTTTGGTGATGAGTTTCCTGACACGAAGATTCCATTTGGTGCAAAATTGTCGTATTGGATCAATCGTCAGCGCGTCGATTCGAAGCAGTCCAAGTTTCTGCCAACTTCGGATGTCGGCATTTTTGTTGGCTATCATGTGCAACCTGGCTTTACCTACACGCATGAAATTTTGGTATTGCCGCTCAAGAATTTGCCGGACAAGTTGCGGACGGGTGACATTAATCCCCTCCGCGTCAAGCAGTATGAGTTCAGTCTGCTTGATGAGACGTTTGTTTTTCCCGCAAAGCAAGCTATTGCCGACGACAAACCGTGTTCTCCGGACGAATTAGAATATGAGCCGGAGTCATATTTGCAGCCTGGCGAAGTATCTGTGCTGGAGGAGGTTTTGATTGAAGATCCTCCCGCACCTGCCGAGGGACTTGCTGATCACGATCCCGATCACATGCCGGATGGGTC